TAATAAATGTATTTTGAAAGACTTCTAAAATCTTTGACAATTAAATATTAATGTGATATATTCTCAGAGAAAAATTGTGTATCACTATAGCTGTCACATTTACTTCAGGTTTCAAGTAACTTTTTCAAATTAAATCTATGTCTAAAAGTTATTATTACAAAATCAAATAATTACCCCCAAATCTCATAACTCATCCCAGTTACAAGTTAGTAAGAGTATTATCTATGCAAAAATTCCTTGAGTAAAAAGTAGACATAATCGTATTAGAAGCAAACAAAGCAAGAAACAGAAAAATATACGGCAAATTTTATTTAGTTATATTTTTATGCTTCATTAACCACGAAGTGGCAAATACCTTAATGCACACTTAATTACAGAAAGAATTACATAAAGATATAAAGGAAAAAACATACAGATAATAATTAACGAGTTTTCAGCCAGAGGTATTTATATCTTTGAGATTTAGAATTTTTTTTTTTTTTTTTTGGTCTTAAATATCGGGCCTGATTTCAAAACTGTCTACTGCTTACAGGGAATCAGTGTAAACATTTTCAATGCAAACAAACCAATCTTTAGCTTCACTGCCACCCAAAATATCTTCCAAAGAAAGGTATGACCTGATCAAAGCTAACAGAGATAGTTAAGAGGTCTGGGCTAAAAAGGGACAGGGCTCAAATCCTTGGGTGTTGTACTTTGGAAAACACCCTGAGTAATCCACTCGCTATAAGCTTGTTTTTAAAAGAAACAGGACCATAACTGAGTTTGCTTGATGAAAGAGCAGGACTCAGTAATGCTGCCACAGGCAAGCACACCCTCCTCATAACACACAGCTACCTCGGTTCCTCCTCTGCCTGTCAGAGGGTCTGAGGAAGAACATTTAGATAATTTACATGCTTGCAATGAATCCCCAGCTGAAACATGTTATAAAGCTCTTATTGCTAAGCCAGTTTAAGAAAGAGACTACGGGTGTTTCTCAATAAAACCATAAGATTATAAGCTTTGCTTGGTGTTGTAAATAAGTATTATTAAATGTTAAGTGGCTTCCTATAGCCTCTTAATAAATTATGGTTTGTTCACTACTGAAACTTACTGCAATGTTTTTGGGGTTTTTTTTTCAATGAAAGAACACACTTGTGAACTTTTAAATTTGCCACAATAGACTGGCAAGCTTACAGGTATGGGGAGGTCTCAAAAGTTGACATAGAAAGGTATTAGTATAAAGGAGGGAGGTGCTGATGAAGTCTTTAGGGTATTAGGAGGAAGAGATGGAAGGCTCAAGGGATTCAGAGAGAAAACTTCTGGATTGAAGGAGGAGCATCATGGCTCTTAAGGGCAACTCAGTCATGCTGTCTCCTCCAACCCCAGGTCCTGCTGGCTTTTCCTTGTTCTCACACGTATCACACGTGTTTTTCAAGTCAGAATTCACTTTCAGTAGGTTTAGTGTGTCTATTGTCAACCCGCTGTGGTTAAGGCTGGGAAGGTGTGTGTGTGTGCCCCAGGCCTCTCAGCACAGGAGGGGTCTCGCTGCTGTGCTGGTTTTGTACCTGTTGAGACATACCGTACCACACTTCTGATAAAATTATACCAGTTTGCTTCTTATGGAATCCAAAACACATAAATACATAGTCTTCTATGAAGTATAATTGATGATGTCAACAATGACATGGACTTTTCAATTTCATCCAACAGGTTAAACCACTTAAAGCCAACTCAAATGTATATTTGCATATTTGGAGTGAAGAGTAACCTAGAAACTGAAATTTGTTCAAACACTTATTTTAACAGTGTCTTTTGGAACATGTTTATTTTCCTTAAAAATGAAGCAGAACAAACATGAATATTACAACACATTTTTCCCCTGTATATCTCCATGAGAAGAATATCTCTAAATACATGATAACAACTGGTGTAACCAACAGTAAAGGGAAGAACCATTCTCCAAATGCCCAATGCACCTCAGAGAAAGCATACAATTTAAAAACTGATACTTTTAGCAAAATTTTGATTTGAGTCAAATAGGTTATTAAAATTTAGAAAAGAATTTGATTCAAACAGCTATAAACTAGGTAGTTTCTGAAACTAGTCCTTTACAACAGTACTGGGTCATCCACAGTATATCAGTCACTCTTAGGAATGGTGAAGACATTATTTCTCTTAACATACGGCTAATCCATGAAATACCAAAACGAACAGTTGGAATAAAAATTACATTTCAACTTACTATGATGTATCAAGACAATTTAAGCAGGAGTTCATTTCTTTGCATTCAGATATAACTCCATATTGTTTTAAATAAATGCAAATAATATTCATTAAAAAGATTTTAGGCACAATAATGCAGACGCTATAAACTAAGCTCATAATTTCTAAATTCTCCCAAATAAAATATCTAATGCAGTCTATGATCTTGCATGTTATTTAGTTGATTTTCATTTATTTTCAAAATTTTGTAAGAATTTTTATTTTCTAGAGTACTACACGTTCAGAGAACATCTTTATAGTTACAGGTTGTCACTAATCTTTTTCTACAAAAATAGAGTTGCTTAAAAATTTATACCAATTTGCTTTCATTTTCTATAAATATTTTAAGTTGTTAAATATCAGAATGCCTAATAGAATCATTTAAATTAATCCATGTAGTCAAAATGTTTAATACGTAAAATGTCTAGCAAAAGTTTGTCATTTAATAAATGAAAAATTCATCATTTAACAAATGAAATGTTCTGTCTTTAGCTACTTGTATCTTACGTAGGTGGATACAATCACAGAACAGCAAAGTATAGCTCCTGTAAAGATCTGACTTCAAGTAGCATGGCAGCTTGCAGTGTCTTTTTCATTTCATGTCTGTTTTATGAGGAAATGCATAGAATCTACTTTTGGATATTGAATCTGGATACTAAATTAACTATCGTGCAGCCAGCATAAAATAAGAATTGCTGACTAAGGGAATAACAAACTTTAGTTCAACACATGGATATTTTAATTACACTTACTTAGTGAGGGGTTATACTGAAGAAAGGTGCTGTTGGTGAAAGTAAAAATGAAGTTTTCAGCATGAAATAACTATAAAAATGGAAATTGCTATATTGAAACTCACTAATATATAGCTTTATATTGTCTTCCTTTTTTTTTTTTTTTTTTTATGGTATGCGGGCCTCTCACTGTTGTGGTCTCTCCCGCTGCGGAGCACAGGCTCCGGACGCGCAGGCTCAGCGGCCATGGCTCACGGGCCCAACCGCTCCACGGCATGTGGGATCTTCCCAGACCGCGGCACAGAACCCGTGTCCCCTGCATCGGCAGGCGGACTCTCAACCACTGCGCCACCAGGGAAGCCCTATATTGTCTTTCTTTTGACGGTGGGTTTAAAATCTGTGTTCAGAAGCTACAGAAATATCCAAAGTCAAAAATATTTATTTCAAGTTTTGTTTCTTCCTAAAGGAATGAATTTCCAAAATAGTTTTCTAATATAAATGTTTTCCTTTTGAAAAGCCATTTTTCTTGCAAAAGAGCAAGAAAAGAACAAGATAAAACCACGTGCTTTCCTACCCCTGCTAAACAACCAATACATGTTTAAGTGCCTATGTGTAGAAGGCACTCAATTTAGTAACAAATTATCAATGTAATATTAGCAGATTTAAAAACAAATACTTATATTTTATATTACTTTAATTAAGTCTTTCAAAAATAAGTGTACCTGGTATAAGCCAATCAATTTCAATTTTTCATTTAGTTACTGACCGAGATCTCAATTACCTTCTTCCAATGTTCTACAATGTATCAGGCCCCATCTGCATGGGACAGCCAAATCAATCAAATCACATCAAATCAGAAGTCCTGAAATATCCAGCTAGCCTCCCTTCATCCTCATAACATGTAAGTCACACATTCTCCTTCAAACTGAGAAACCGAATGAATTAGATCTTCTGGTTTGGGTTCAACTAAATTCTAGTATTTACCGCTGATTAATTTTTTTCCTTAGGTAAGAATGATCATTAAAGCACTTGAGAAAAATAAATAAAGGCAATAATAGCTAACTGTATAATTCTATATTTGGGTTGTAAGGACCAAAGCAAACACAAGCATACCCACACACACAAACAGAAAAAATAAGTCACCAGTCATTTATCCTCAGATAAAGCAATAATATTGATAATCAGAATGCTTGGATTAAATTATCTATTGTTTTCCTATCCTTTAGGAAAGACACAAATTCAAAGCACTCAAAGTGCTGGTTAAGCAAAAGCATGGGTGTAAATTGTGAGTAAAATATGAATACTGATTTTTTTTTTGTAGTCTTGGTCTCATCAAGAAGAGGCCTACCTTAGGAGCATGATAAATACATATTGCATAAGATTTTGGTGCTAATGATGTTGGGTTCTGAACTCAGGGGAGGTTTTGCAAATAGAAATAATATATTTTTCATAGAAAAAGTGCAAGGGACGCAGATAGAGACAGCAGTGTTAAAGCTTTTTTCTTAATGATTCCTCCTATTAGCCCAAATAGTCGTCTAGAACATGCATGTTTAGAAGGAAGAATTCATCTCTTAAGGAGCTCTATTAGATTGGTCTTAAGCTTTACTACAAAAGAAAAAAGCAATAATTTGAAAAAATGTTAAAAGTAGAAATAAAGTGATGTCAGAAAAATCTGAAAATGCAAGAAATATTTTCCATAATTTAACTAAAGATTCCCCAAATAAGCAAAATACTTCATTATTAGTACATGACAGCATATCTAAATGAAAAAGACATCACTTCTAATAGCCTAAGAAAAAGAACATTTCAACAATTTGGAAATTAAACACTACACAGGTATTGACAGCCATAGTAAGAAATGAGTGCAATACAACAAAATGTGGAGAGCTATCTACAGATTTAAAAGCAGTTCCCATTCTTTCAGCAAAATCGGTGACATAAAACCAAGTGCACCAAATTAGCATAGTCATGTTTTCACAGAGAAAAATACCAATGCTGGTTAACAGGTTTCTAAAAAGATTCACCACCATATTTATACATTTTTATTTAAACCTTTAAGATTTTATCCATGCTTATAATGCCAAAGAATATCAGAAAATAAATCTTCAGATAAAAACTAAATTTTAGTTTCTCTTTTCTAACGGTTAGGAAAAAAAGGACATTGAAACCGAGAATAACAAGTATAATTAACAAAGAAGCACAAGAACATGCCAAGAATTCAACCTATCAGAAGATATAATGTGGGTAATCATGAAGTATGCTTATCAATAGCCCACTTTTAGTCAAGTTTTCCATTCTGAAGACTCTTTTTGGCTTTCTCTTGTCTTATGAGAGAGATGACTTTGATGCACCCCTTTGAAATTTTGATCATCCACATGACATTCATTACATCCAAAACAACACAAGTAGAGATCCAGGAACACTGAATTAAAAATCCAAGCCTCAGGTAGGCTTCCGTTCCTAACACAGAGTAAATGTAGCCATAAAAAGGAGGTATTGAGGCAATCCGCACTATGAAGAACACCACAGTCATGAGTATTCCATTGATGACATTAGCCTTGGAAAACTTAGGATACTTCAGAGCCTCAAAGAACCACCTGGGAAAAAAATTAAAGAAACATCACATTTATTCTGTATCTCTGAGGATTAACAATTTCTAGTTTTTCATTTTTAAAATTCAGAATACCCCCCTAAGATTTATATGGCAAGAAAAAGGGCCTAGAATGGTCAACATAATACTGAAAAAGAATAAAGCTGATAGATTCACTTTCAAGACCTACTATAAAGCTACAATAATCAAGACAGCACGGCATTGGTAAAAGAACAGAAAGACAGGCCAATGGAACAGAATAGAGAGCCCATAGACAGACCCACACAAATATACTCAACTGACTTTTGATAATGGTGTAAAGGTAATTCAGTGGAGAAAAAACACTCTTTTTAACAAACAGTGCTGGAACAATTAGACATCCATATGCAGAAAAATAAACCTAGGCAGAGACCTCACATCTTACACAAAAATTACCTTGAAATGGACCACAGACTTAAAAGTAAAATGCAAAACTGTAAAACTTCTAGAAAAAAAACAGGAAAAAATCTGCATGATCTTGGGTTTGATGATAGGATTTTAGATATAATACCAAAAGCACGATCCATAGAAAAAAATATAAGTTGGACTTCGCTAAAATTAAAAACTTGCTCTGTGAGAGGCACTGTCAAAAGAAAATGAAAAGACATCCAAACACAGGGAGAGATTGTTTACTGAATACATATATGATAAAGTACTTATATCCAAAATATATAAAGAACTCTTAAAGCTCAGCAATAAAGAAACAACCTAATTAAAACATGGGCAAAAGATCTTAAACACCTCATCAGAGAAGATAAACAAAAGGAAAAAAAGCATATAAAAAGATATTAAAAATCATTTGCCATTAGAAAAATGTAAATTAAAACAATGACATGCTTCTACATATCAGAATGACTACAGTCCGAAAATCTGACAATACCAATTGCTGGCAAAGATGTGGAACAATAGGAACACTCATTCATTGTTGGTGGGAATGCAAAATGGTAAAGCCACTTCAAAAGACAGCATTGCAGTTATAATGCTAAACATATTCATAGCACACAATCCAACAATCACACTTCTAGGTATTTTTTCAATTGATTTAAAAATATATGTCCACACAAAAACCTGCATGCAACTGGTTACACCAGCCATATTCATAATTGCCCCAAACTGGAAGCAACCAAAATGTTATAGGTTGCTTCATAATGTTATTCACAATGTAGTACGTGAATGGATAAGTAAATTGTGGTATGTACATACAATTAAATGCTATTCAGCGATAAAAAAGAACAAACTATCAATTCATGTAACACCATGGGTGAATCTTAAATGCATATTGATAAACAAAAGAAGCCAATCTGAAAAATGCTATCTACTGTATGATTCCATTTATATGACATTCTGGAAAAAGCAAAACTATAAAGACAAAAAAACAGATCAGCGGCTGCCAGAGGTTCAGGGAGAGCAGGAGAGGGCAGAATAGGTGAAACACAGGCAATATTTTAGGGTAGTGAAACAATTTTGTATGATACTGTAGTGGGGGATATATGACATTATGCATTTGCAAAACCCACGGAACAGATGAAGAGTGTATGCAAATTTTAAAAAAATCAATAGGAGGTTGGGGCATGCCAGGCAGAATGTAGCCTGTGACAAAAGAATCTAACTGCATTCCAAATACATGACATAACCTCACTGGAGGGAGTGGGGTAAAAATAGGTGACCTAAGTAACTTTGAAAATGAATTAAGACTGTAAGACTAAAGACAAAAGAAACTGTACATAGGCACTTTGCTCTAGCTGGTAAAATTGTTATCTCATGGGGGAAGAGGTTAACAATTCTGAAACCATTATACATGTATACTGGTATTTAACAAATAAGTAAATTTGTCTGATGGTGAAGTGGGAACCAGATTTCTCATTGTGGGAGTGGAAGGTTACAGATAATTGAGTGCAAAAGATTAGATTGATCCATATGACACTGGATTAGAGCTGGAAACTTCAGTATAAACTCATGCTTAGTTTAATACATATATACAGATGGACATATACAGAAATAATTATGGATATGTGTGTATCCACAGGTTAGTACATTTCCAAGTTGTCAGCTGGGAGGGCATAGAAACAATGATGCCCCAGTAGCAATGAGCACACCCAGGGCCCATATTTTGGTTTCTAATACCATTGTCCAATAAAAGAAAACAAGACTACTTGAGAAATGGCTGATTCTAGCACTGGGACAGAGAATACACAATATAAATCTAGAGTATTTTTTTAGTATCAGAAAATAAAGAAGTGCTCCAAAAAAGATGATGAAGTTATGTCAAAGGGACACAGAAGACAACTGAAAGAGCTCCCAATGGCAAAAGTTGTAACAATTTGAACAAAATAAGTAATGTAGTATTGGATTCAAACTCAAAGTATAAAATAAATATCCATGAAGCCATGGTAATATAAATGAATGAATGAGTGAATGAATAGGGGAGAAAAGGTAAATATCCTGTACAGAATAATTGCAAATAAGTTATGTAGATATTGCACCCTCAAAGAGGTGAAGCATAACTCCCCACTCTTCAAGGGGGGACTTCGTTACAGAGCTCAGTATAGAAGGCAGGTGGGGTGGAAACAGTTAACTTTAAAATTGAGAACTCTTACAAACCCTACCTCAGCCAGGTGAACAAGGTAAACAACAGTGACAATCCATGTTTATGCATGTAGTCCTGATATAATGTGATGAGAATGGCACTTTACTTCTGTGGTCTTCCTCCAAAAACCCCATATCCTCAGTCTAATCATGAGAAAAACATCAGACAAACCCAAATTGAGAAATATTCTACAAAACAGCTGACCAGGACTCCTCAAAACTGACAAGGTCATCAAAAACAACGGAAGTCTGAGAAACTATCACAACCAGGAGTCTGAGACGTGACAACTAAATCCAATGTAGTATCCCGGATGGGATCCTGGGGCAGAAAAAGGATATTAGGTAAAAACTGAGGAAATCTGAAAATACTATGGCCTTTAGTTAATAATAATGTATCAATATTTGTTCATTAATTATGACAAATGTACCATACAAATGTAAATATTAACAATAGGAGAATCTGAGTGTGGGGTATATGGGAACCCTTTGAATCATCCTTGAAACTTTTCTAGAAGTCTAAAATTATTCTTAAGTAAAAAGCTTATTTTAAAAAAATTTAGTATTTGCTGTATTCTACTTTTTCCTCCTCACAAAAAACTATCTTGCCTAATGTTACCTCATTATATTTTAGAGGTTAAGTTGTAAATGTAGTAAAATGTATCCATGTATCTTAATATTCAATTTGACAGAATTAGTCATGACTAAGCTAGAAACTGCTCAACTTCAGAAACTAAAAATTAACTGTTAAAAAAACCTTAAAATGTTTTACTGAGATATTAAAACATCAAACAGAAATAATTTGTAGGATAAGAGGGGTATTACAATTTATAAGTATATGTAGGGTGAAAAGAGAAGGGCTAAATTATTCAATGCAGTTAAAAACAAACTATTTAGAGAGCAATGCTCAAATTAATAAAATAATATCACAAATAGGAAAAATGTCACTAAAGCAGTAAAGTCAACATCTTTTGCTCTATCCAGGTCTCCTATCCTCCAGGCTTCTCTACTCCAAAGATTTCCCCTCTGACCCTCAGCCATTCCTTTCTTTGACTACATGGTGGCCTTGGGTTTAATCAGAAATGCTATACCTCAAATAACCCATCCCCTTCTAAGCACAACTCGTAGTACCCCATATTTCTCTTTACCCAATTCCATCTAAATCTCTTTTTTGACCTCCACTCCCAAATCCCTCACTACCAGCCTTTGATTCACTTCCTTTCCTACCTACCTGAACTCAGTTACCTTCAGAACACACATCGGCACCCTCAGTTCTCTTGCCCCTTCATCCACCACACTCACGCTGCCTATCCCCAGCTTCTCATCAGGCCAGCTTTCCTTAGGCAGAGTATAGAGGGAAGGTGGGTACTGTATTCTGCAGTCAGAAGGCCCAGGTTCAAACCTGCTTCTGCCACTTAGCTGCTGTGTGGTCTTACCTCTCTGTTATTGACCTCTATATCTCAGTTTGATCCCTACAAAATGGGGATAATGACAGCACCTCCCTTATACCATGAAGCTGTTTTGACACATAAGAACTCCCCTGTACTAGGAGCTCAATTAATAGCTATTATTACTCACTAATATTGATATTAACATAAATAGCACAAATGTAACTTAAAGAGCTCTGAATTTCAACTGAATTCTCAAATTTGCTTGGCATCCCTTTTACTTAACTCCACATTCTCCATAGAATTGCTCCCCAACCTCTGTCTCACAAATCAAGTCACTTCCCTTCCTTATTCACTTCTACTTCTCAATCCCATCAGAGGAACTGGCCTCTTCTACTACTAAGGTATTTGGGTCCATCAAATGAATTCCTCAAACTCTGACCCCAAGGCCTCAAATCTTCTTTTCAAGCACCTTTTTCTCTATATTCAGATGAAGAGGTTTCTCTTGCCCTCTCCAAGGCCAATTGCTTCTGTACCCATGCTCTGTGACTTTAGGCCATCAATTATCCCCTTTCCCTTGCTCCATCCAGTTCCCCATGTATAGATTGATACTTTCTTCTCTCTTACCAACATGCCCGACCCTTTCTAATCCAAAAAATCTCTCCTTCTGTTTTTCTTCCCTATTAAACTCTTAAAAAGAGAAGTCAACAGTGTATTCACAGACATTCTGGCTATACTTCACAACCCAGTACAATATGATTGCATTCCCCTACAAAAGAAATTGGTCACCAGTGGCATCCCCATAACCAAGACAGTGGATTCATCTCAGCCTCCATCCCAGGTGACCTTTCTATAGCATATGACACTGCCAACCATCATACTTGCTTTCTTCTCTCCTGATACTGTTTTCTCTTGATTCCCTACCTATACTTTTTCAGTCTCCGTTTCCTCTGCCTGTCCCTAAATATTTGTGCTTCCCAGGCACACTCCCTTCCAC